AACTAAATCGTTGTATTGTTTAAAGACCTCTGCTCTTACGTTTGGAGATATTGAGGTTGGTTTTTTTTTTTTTTATAAATATATATAAAAATCATTTTAAATTTATAGAAATGTGCCTCATAGCAAGATTGTGTTAGACTGAAAGAATTAATTATGATTTTTAATATTTATTCCTGTAGTTCTGAAATCAATATAAAACAACTTTTTTTTTAAACCTTTCTCAGTTTAATTTTAATAAAATCTTGAGTTCTGTATTAAATTAGAGTTGTGCGATAAATGTTCGGCACAGTATTATTCTTTCAATGCATTGCAAGCTGTTTCATTAAACTATTATTTATTATTAATCTCGTTTAATTTTTAAATAATTTATTAATATACTTTTAATATACGCTTCAAAAAAGAATAAATATGACTCCAATGCAATCGGGTAGGTGTAGATAGTTAGAACTATAAATACACGGAGAAATTATGTTTACTATAACCAAAATATACGGTATTTAATTACATTCATACATTTGGTAATGTTTCCATTCATATGGCAACGGTTTACCGGGTCTGAGTTTCTGGATTTAAAAATTATAGTTCCTATTACCACACTTTTGACGTAAAATACAAAACTAAAAAATAAATTCTACCGACCGAATAGTTTTTATGCTATGATCTAAGGTATCATACTAAAATTACCTTTTACAATCAACAACATTTACTAAGTTTTATCATTTATTACACAAAATTTTTTTATTGTTGATTTTACCAAAATCCTTTCCAAAGTGTTCTGTTAAAAATTACCGAGCTTTTTGTTGTTCCCATAGAGCCAGAAACAAGGTAAATTTTGTCATATTCTGGTATTTTTGACCATATTTTTTCTCAGTGTATTTAAATTTAGATGTTTCTCTTAAACACCAATCTATTGGTTTTCTTTATTTTAAATTAGTTTATAATAAAATAAATAATAATATTATATTTAAATAAATAAACCCTATTTTTTAACGAACATATAATAAATGTAACTAATATTGTTCAACAGATTAATATGCATCAATTAACAACTAAATTATAAGTATTCATTACCTCATTTATTGTTATATTCATTGTTACATTAGTGAACTAAGTTAGCGACTTAATTAGTAAAATGTGTAAATTTAATACAAAAAAGTCTTGAAATCGAGTAAAAAATTACTAAAACTAGCCTGATTTAATACTTTTTGATTTGTTCGAAAAAATTTCACAATTTGTTAAATTAGGGATGCAATTGACAATAATCAAGTAAAATATTGAATTTTAAAATATTTGAGATTTCAAGAAAACAAAGTTTTCTTTGAATTGTTTTAAAGCAGGACTACTTTTCAACTAACGCAACATTATCAACCAAAAGCTCTGTACTTTCTTCTAATAATAAAATATTTTTAAGAAAATGAATGATAATCAGTAATTTGACTAAATCGGTGAAACTTCTAAAAGTTCCTAAATGGGACGATAGACAATGATGAGTTTAACAAATTACTTATCTTAAAATAAGTGTCTTAAAATTAATTAAACATTATATATTATTATAATAAATGATAATGAACTATCAACATTACCTTGTAGCAATAAAATTTCAAACAACGTCTTAAAAACATGATACTATGCTCATATATTTTTTTATGAAAAATAATTCTACTTTTTTACTGTGGCATTTCTAAAAAAAGGTATTTCGAGTAAATGTTTTGAAATACAGTTATATGGTTCAACAAATAAAATTTTAATGTATCTAAAAGCAATCTGCGTCGTGAATGGATTAATTTCACAACAATTATACCGGTATATTACGAGATTCAGTACATTGTTAGAATTTTCGTTCCAAAATTATGGTAAGATAACCGTTAGCAGTCTGTCCAACTGATTAACCGTAAAGTTTATGGCAAAAAAAAAAAATTCTCTTCATCGTTACGGTTTTGAAACCGTTTACAACTAGTATGGTTATAGAACCATGAATACAAAACTATACGGTGTTTCAACCATTTACAACAAACATTGTTTCAAAACAATAAAAAAATTAACTGGACATGCGAGCTATGTTTTTGTAAGATAATAGGCATTTTGAAGATTGAAGGACACAAAATGGGAAGTGCAGGACACTGTAAATTTTTTATGCATTAAAGGGAATAGAGAAAATATTGAGGTGTCAACGTTGGAATTCGAACCCCACTTCTGTCGGTCACGTGACTGACAGATGAGTCCTCTCGGCTATTTTATGTACGCAGTTGTAATTGGCTTCATTAGGTAGGCTCAGTTGGAACTATAAAATTCTGATTACTTAACCGTATTAGGTAAAAAACAGTTAATAAACGGTTTTCTCTCACATTTAACAGTTTGATTACCATCTTATTTATGGTTATTCGACTGTTTTGTTTAAATATTGTAAAGTAAAGAATTAAATGGATTGTCATTTAACCATTTTTTCCGAGAAATTTCTAACAGTGTAAGATTGTTCTCCTAAAACTCCTATTGATCTTCTCACACACACAAAAAAAAAACTGCATGAAACTAGATTTTTCGCACCGAAAATGTTATTTACCAATATTTCAAGGAGAATTTCATTTGTAAATACACAACATGTAATCACTGTTTGTAAAGATAAAGCAGGTGTTTACTAACTGTCGTCACCTTCAATTTAATGCCCGCCCTTGAAACTCTATTGATTGATTACATTGCCTGCTACATTTTAACATTCTTCTAACTCACAACTACATCTGTTATCTAAATAAATGTTTGTTTAAAGTATGCTCTTAAAGAAAGATTAAAAATATACACCTAAAGAACATTATATTAATGCTAGGAAGTTAGTCCCCTGTTCGCTGCTGAACACTAGCTCTTATGATTACTTCAATAATTGTTGTTCCTTAGAATAAAACAGTTTTTGTCTACGAAAGTAGAAATTAGTCACTTAAAATATATGAACTATAAAAAATTATGTTTGCTTACGCTTAGGCCCCCACTTCCCAAAAAAAACTTTCATTTCATTAAATGAAATATTTATTTTCATTAAAATTTGCATGATTCTATTTCCCTTATGATTAGGTTAAGATCTATTAGTGAGCATAAAAAGTTTGCTTTGTAATCATTTTTTATATACAACATTTAAAATTAAAGGTATATGTTATAACACATTTGGTGAATTCAAAAACGTAATTTAATAGTTTCAATCACCAAACAGGCTGATATATTAAATATAATTTGTTCATTCATCATATTATTCTAAAGTTTAGTTCTAAATCATTTTACGAATCTCTTAAACAGCAGTTTATCATAGCAAATTAATGTAATTTACACCACAAAATATATTAAGTCTAGACACCGATTCAAATAAGTTTTATCTTAAAATGTAGCGTAATAAAGCAGTATCATAGAATTACGTTATAATAAAAAAAAACATCACTTCTAGTTTTAAACTCTTAGTTCAGTAGTTAGATTTTTTTAATTCTCGCCAAGCAAGTTTGTGAAATCTCCCCAAACTAGGTTTCCGGAAAATATTTCAGATTATTTTGAACGGGGAGATTATTTTGAACGTCCAATCACACCACTGAAGTTCTTAAATCTGATTAAAATTAAATGTTATTTGACATGTATACCTACGCGATTGTTGGATTTCATTAGAAAAGAGGTAAAAGGGTTTATTTTTTCGCCATTTATGCTTCTGATCTCTTGCTGCTAGAATCATCGTTATTATTTCATTTTTTAACTTTTATTAATTCCATTTTATTAATTTTAATTAAAAAATATTTTAATATAGTTGCAATATAGTTCACTAAAAATATATTAATATATTTTAATAATCAAGAAGCAACGTTGATCCCAGTAATAATCGTCAACCTGGCAATATTTCGAAAAAGTAGCCAAGGGTTATGCTATTCTGGGATTTTACCATATTTTTATTTATTTATTACTATTATTATTTATTTTTGAAATACAAATTTTTACGGCACTCATGTTCCAAAGCATATCTCACCGTCAAATCTAATTCACTAAAAAAATAAAGCCTCTATTCTTTGGTGTATAATATTATTTTTTTTAAAGAAATGAGTCAGTAGACCTGACTTATATTCATTCATTGTCCGAGCCGACAATCATTCAAGCTGAACTTCTCAAGAATGAAATCGTTCCAAATGACTAACCCTCTCACGAATTCAATCATTCGAATTCCTGAGATTTTTTTAAGGTGTCAATTTCCTTTCAATATCTACATTAAATTCGAAATTGGGAAAAAATTAGTATGTTTATAGCATAAAAGGAAAACAAAATATGCATCTTAAGAAAAAATACTTATATTTAATATAATGGGTACATTATATGAAAATTTATTTCATATTGTATTTCAAGTGATATTAAAATATTATTCAAATAAATATCCGTAATTCTATCAATAAATTATCATACTTTTCCTGTTAATCTTAGATATGATAAACCACTTTGACTTTGTATTTATTTATAATTTAATTATTAATTTTAATTAAAAGCTAGATTTTTTTTCGTATTTTAAGCTCAGATTTTGACTCTAATTCAGAATTACGTCTTATATCCTCAAAAAATATGTTAAATGATGAGATGAATGCTTCGCATATTTATTTAAAAAGAAAACGTTTAATTTAAATATCAAAAAGATGTTTCTTTTAACAGTATTTCTGTTAAAACTGAACATCTGAAACGTAAAATATAATATAAGTAGAATTTGCTGGCATTTTTCAAATAAATACCCTTCTAAATCTTTTTTTTTTTAAAATTTGTAATGTACTTCTAAAATTAAAGAATTAATCAATTTATCTATGACAAATATTCTTTAGAAAATAGATCAAAAACTTAGCGATGTATCATATTTTACTTTTCTTTATACGAGGTAATCGTAAGCAACAATGCCTGTATAAGTGTCTAAGCTTTATCAATTTCAAGAAAGAATTATGAATATTCTTGACAAAAATGTGCTAAAAAATTGTAAAATATGTTTTTTTTTTTTATTTCAGGTAAATTTGGTATCGCTATCCAACATCGTTCTCAGTAATATCAAAACAGAACAAGAACTACGATTATTTACATTCATAAAATATGATAATAAAATCTTTCAATGATTGCTGGAGTATACTTTCTCATTTTCCAAGAACTCACATCAGTGATTTTCTTACTTACCAAAATTATTTAAAAAATTTAAAAAATTTTATCTACAGTTTTATAAATCTTTAAAGAATATATGAGGGGAAAAGTTCTGGTAAAATTACTGTACTATAAATGAGAACATTTCTGGAAAAATCATAATTCTGTTTAATAAAAAACAAAGCAAACGGTATTGAAAATATTCATATCGTAATTTTTCCATTCATATAGCAGCGGTTTATCTGAAATTCTGGTTTTCAAAATTATAGTTCTAATTGTCACACATTTAGTAAAAAATACAAACTGAAATGCCTATGCCATGCTAAGGTATCATGCTAAAATTAACGAATTTTATCACATTTATCAAGTTTTATCACATATAATAAAGCTATATTTTTTTGCAAATTTGACAGAAATCATTAAAAAAGCATTTCGGTAAAAACCATTTGAGTTCTTATACAGCCCGACACATACTAAATTGTACCATATTCAATAGTGTTGACCATATTTTTTATATGTTGACTATATATGCGTGTTTTCTTAAAGAAATATACTCAAGAACGGTTCAAACATTTTATAAATCATTATTACCAACTCTTAGTTCAAAAAATTAATTTTCAAGCTCAATCATCCATATATCTAGGTAGAAAATTAGTGATTAAATCATGTATTTGATGCTCTGCCACTGAATCCAACGTACGATACTTAAAGATGCCTTACTCTTACTAAAACATGATTCAAATGTCTAATTTTAATGAGCTCAATCAACCATTCAGTTAGGTACAAAATTGGTAATTCAATCTGAAATCATGTATGTGATGATCTGACTCCAAACCAAACGTATGATACGTAACGATGCCAAACTCTTACTAACACATAATTCAAATGTTAAATTTCAAAGAGCTCAATCATCCATTTAGTTAGGTACAAAATTGGTAATTCAATCTGAAATCATGTATGTGATGATCTGACTCCAAACCAAACGTATGATACGTAACGATGCCTAACTCTTACTAACACATGATTCAAATGTTTAATTTTAATGAGCTCAATCATCCATTCAGTTAGGTACAAACATAATAATTAAATTTAAAATCATGCGTGTGATGATCTTCCCCTAAACCCCACGAGCGATTAATAATGATTAAAAATCTGGATTTATTTATGCAAATTTAATCCTGGAATCTAAAGGTATATGTCTCATATACTAAAAAAGGGATGAATAATGATGATTATAAAATTTAGAATCTAAATATACTGGTGTCGAACATTTAATGCTGTCAGTAGCTGAATTTGAAGACAAATGTTCAAATTCAGTTCAATCATTTGATTGTAACTTTGAGCATGCACAAGGGAACAGTCGTGATTATACAATAAACAATATGTAAAATATACATGTAATATATATATATGTAATATATATATGTNTATAATTCTAAAAACAGTGTATTTACACTGGATATAAACACATATATATATATATATATATATACATGCTATAACTTTCAGCATATTCAAATAGAATTAAATTGCGATAATTACAATATCAGCTATCCAGTTATATTGCTGCAAAATTGAAAGCGGAATCTAAAAGTGAAAGCCTTATCTACTAAAATGAGAGGGAATAGTGATAAGTATAAAGTATTGGTCGAGAACGTGTGATATGAGTAGCAAAATTTAATCATGGACTTTTTAATAGCTTCGATCAAATTTAATTGAAAACAAAGAGAGTTATAAATTTGTTCTCTAAAATTATATTAGAGTAGATTATTTAATGTAAGGGATTGAGCAATACTTTGACCGTGCTTGAAAAAGTAAGTAGTGATTGGCTTGTTTTTTATATTTTATAACCGTCTTCGAACACCCGACCCCATTTTTGGGTTTACGATTACTAATGTTCAACTCCGTAGCAGTGTAATTTTGAACCAATCCAGAAGACAAGGAAACCCCTGGATCAGTATCCCCAGAGGTATGATTTGTTAAAGGAACATGGAAGACTTTGTGACTTGACAGATTTAACGTACATCAGTCACCATTTACTACACGGGGAGTCTTCGGCGATCGGGGATTGAAACCATGACAGCTTGAACACAGGCCCAGTGCCCTACCAACCAGGCTAACCCAACCCTGATTGGCTTGTTTGTAATTTTTAAAATGACCAAGAAAAATCAAAAGAGATGGTTATAAGGCATTTAATATTGGTACAAATTATATGCTGTTGTGAATAGTAGAATTTAAAATTATGGGCTATGTTATAAATTTGAGTATACTCATAACAGTATGAATAGCTATGTTAATAAAATCAACTATTCCGATATACTAAGGCAAACTTAAAAGCAAAATCTCTAAGTATATGTTTCATGTACTCGAGAAAGAGTAAGTAGTTATTGCATAACATTATCGTAGAGTATGCGGTACTTTCAGTAGTGATGTTTCAAAACAATGTTTCAATGTTAAAGTTCAGTTTTCTAAAATAAAACTAGATGGTGAGGAGGTAATTCTAAATCGGTACCTGCTCTCACCAACTTAAATACTTCCAAGAACCTAGAGTAACTGCTAAGTTCTTGTACTTGAAATGGACATAAACGAAATAGAGAAGGACTTGTTCAAAGGTGACTTCGAGTTTTATCTTACAAGTTTGTCGGGTTCTATATTTTTTTTTAACTCTTTAGGCATTGAATTATTTTTTTTCTCTTCGGGATTGATTTCGGTTCGGTGCAACACGATAGTAGTCAAAGTTTGGGAACCTTTAGCACAGGTACTTTTGCTCAGAAATTTTCAAACTTCGACGTTAATAATATCAACAAGCAGATGTATTGTCAGAAAATTCATTCACGAAACCTAACATTGTTTTATATCTTTCTCAAAGCTAAAAAGAGGGCAAATAGTCACATATAAGGTCAACATTTCAGAGAAATCAGTACACCTGCTCTAAGTCACAAATGCTGAGCTTCAGAAAGCAGCAAATTAGTTATAAACATCTCAATTAATTTCCGAAAGTAAGCTACATACTTTGCAGCCGTCAGCGTTGAAGATTTGCATTGTTTCGATATTTATTTATTATCTAGAAAGTAAGCAAGGATTGGGTGTCATCACATATTTCCAGCAACAAGTGCTAGTTTAATGACCTCTTTTAGGATAACAATGAATTTTAATTGATATCATCAGTGACATTGAAAACTGTGCTAATGGTCCAGAATATTATAAGTTTTACTTCCATTGAATTTCTAGAAAACTCGAATTTAAGAGAACGTTTCTTCGAACACTTGCAGCTCTGTGGAGTGAATGCAAAAATCAAAACCAAATTCAAATCATTATAAGGTCAAAATGTCTTCTGTAAAACAATCGTTTCATTGTTTTCCTCTAAAAAAAAATTTTTTTTAACTTTTTATTTTCTCTTTCCACGTGCGTATTCTACTTTCAGTGCGATGTTCTTTGCCAGGTTAATGTCCGATGTAAAATATAGGTCAGCCAGCTGACCACGTGACAACTTCCCAAAGGCGCGACAATTACGCTGAGCCTGTTGTTGTTTTTGTTGTTGTTGTTGACGATGTAATCACTATTCACGCCTTCTCCTCTTCTGAAATGTGGAAGAGTCGATATTCTCCTTTCTTCGTCCTCTCCTCCTCCTCTTCTTCTTACCTGTCATGGAAAGTTAGGGAGAAGGAAAATTCAAGAGAATGATTTGTGGTTATTATCGGATTAATTGAAACCGATAACGTTTCAACGTGCTTGAAAAACAAGAAATTTATCTTTAAACAAGTTTAAATCCTTGTCAAGCAGTAATTATTACGCTTGAAGTTATTTTCTTTCTTCCTTCTCCTTTAAAGTTCTAGCTTTATTCCACTTAGTATATTTGGTACATCTAAAACTTATAAAGTGTTTATTTTTTAACTCACTTAAAAAGTATTTTATTTTACTACATATTTCGTTCAAAGTAAATGCTGTAGAAAAGTTTTACTTATAACTTATCTATTGTTGTTTTTAATCTTCTAAGCGAATTGAAACAAGCCAGATTATCTCCATAAAGTTCATGACGTTGAGAAAACCAATTATAGTCGATATGATATCAAATCACCCTTTGTAAGTCCAGGACACTACTGGATATGTTCAGGAAATTCTCGATGTGTATTGAATTTCTTTCAAATCTACAATGTTCAAATCTCCCTTTGTAAGTTCAGGACACTACTGGATATGTTCAGGTGATGTTTGATGTGTATTGCATTTCTTTCAAATCTACAATGTTCAAATCTCCCTTTGTAAGTTCAGGATACTACTGGATATGTTCAAGTAATATTTGATGTGTATTGCATTTCTTTCAAATCTCTCTTTGTTAGTTCAGGACACTGCTGAATTTTCTCAGGTGACGTTTGATGTGTATTGCATTTCTTTAAAATCTAATATTCAAATATCCCCTAGTAAGTTCAGGACACTGATGGATATGATCAGGTGATGCTCGATATGTATTGCCTTTCTCTCAAATCTGCAATGTTCGCTTTCAGGCCTGACTAAAGTGATTTGAGAGTCTCTGTCACACTTAATGCCCAACAGAGTACTGAAGCTTATCCATATATACAGCATAAAAGATATGCACAGTAAAATAACCTATACAATACTAAATAATTTTATGTTTTTTACTCTCTGTTATACAGGGTGCTCACTTAGAGGTGCCTGAAAAGTAATGGTTAATAATTCTGGAACTTTCCAATGGAATATAACAGACATGGAGATTAGATATATTATATATCTGTTTAATATTTTCTGGCCTAGACATTTCAGGCACGTATGCGTACAATAATCAGAAATCTTGAAAAATTTCAATGGTTTTCATTATTAAAAAGATTTAGCAATGCAAACTTCACGTCTCTTCATATCCAGTTCTGTATCTGCAGTTCGCAAGAAAAACGAATTTTACTGAATAACTTTTTACCTAATAATCGTATTTTCCTGCTCTAGGACTAAATCTTAATGGTTTGAGGG